GTGACCGTCGGCGGGACTCAATATTTAAGCGAACTTTGAATGCCTATAAAATCATAACTACTGGGTATTTTTGAATGAAATAAAAACTAATGTATTTGTAAATGTAAAAGCTTAACTGTAACATAGGTTTCAAGTGATTTTGCATACCTAGTAACATTCTCAATTCAATTCAATATCTTTATTGCGTTCTATGTTGTACATAAGGTCTTAAACAATATATTGTACAGTCTCAAACATAGACCCGGTTTGGGCACAGCAACATTGTGTTTTACAAACATTTATTAATTAATTCGGCATGCATAATTAGTGTTAATATTTAAAAAATCTTAATTTTAACCGGAAGTACCTACTTGATGTCATAATTTTAAAGATGTCAAGTTCACGATGTCAATTTACAATCATTAAAGTAATATTACTCAATGTTTACAATGTCAATATTTTATATAATATTATGTATGCTCAATTTAACAGTGTCACTTACCGTATCTCACTAGTGAAATACGGTCTAGGATGGGTACATACCTGCCCTGTCTATTCACTCATCTTGAAGAGGCTTCGATTANGCTCAATTTAACAGTGTCACTTACTGTATCTCACTAGTGAAATACGGTCTAGGATGGGTACATACCTGCCCTGTCTATTCACTCATCTTGAAGAGGCTTCGATTATAGTGTTTATTTATTTACTAGCTTTCCGCCCGCGGCTTCGCCCGCGTGGATTTTTGTCTGTCACAGAAAAACTTTATCGTGCGCGTCCCTGTTTCAAAAACCGGGATAAAAACTATCCTATGTTCTTTCCCGGGACTCAAACTATCTCTATGCCAAATTTCATCAAAATCGGTTGCGAGGTTTAAGCGGGAAAGCGTAACAGACAGACAGACAGACAGACAGACAGACAGACAGACAGACAGACAGAGTTACTTTCGCATTTATAATATTATAGTTGGGATTTTATTTAAGGACAACCAACAAAACATACACCATACATTCACAGTATCCTTATAAATAAATTAAGCTAAGGTGTTGCCTTAATTAAAGGTTGCTACGACATGCACAGAATGTTGGATAACAATAACGTTGCCAAAGTGACAGAATGCAAAACAATAAAATATTAACTAATCGTCGGAGTATACAATTCAGAAATTTGTTTTTTGAATTTACGTAGCGAAGATGACATATCAACGCTGGCCCCGGACGAACGTGACAGGTTGCTAAATTGTGACTGAATCCTGTTGATAGAGGAGAAATGACCCAGATTTGTCCTAAAACTAGAGATTGCAAAATCCGGATTTTTTTTAAATCCGGTTTTCCGGATTTGTGTTACGTACAAATCCGGATTATCCGGATTTTTCGAATATTAATTTAAATAAAACGTAGTTTTTTTTCAAAAGATGTAAGTATTTGAAGAAAAGCGTTTTATTTTATTATCGCGCATGGAATTTATTCCTCTTATTTTCGGTTTGCGCTACAAATTTCGAAATTATTTGAACCTTGCATTATTTTTTTCGTTTTAGTACAACTGCATTTCAGAATAAAAACTTGCTTGTACCTATAAAATATTTTTTTTTTCTTGTCGTGTCGATAAAAAACCTATACAGAGACCAGCCCAAAACTCCGCCACAAGAGTGGCGTTGTCAGTAGCCTTCATTAAATCTTCCTGCTTGCAGTTTTTTGGGCAGGCAGGGTACGACATCATGTGCTTCGTCGAATGGGGAACAAAACCACACTTGCACTCCAAGTTTGATCCACCCAAGAATCCCCACCTGACACCTGAACAGATTGTCCTTACTACGGCAGACCTGTCCGAAGTCTATAAAGATTTCCAGGTAGGCCAGGGGAGCTAATTTTTTTATTATAATTTTATTTTACACTTTTAAGTTGTATTTCAATCTCAGGGCCCTTGTCATTATTTACGACCAAAGTGCTCGGGAAGACGAATCCAACGAACTCAAACTCTATAAGTTTCTGCCGTTTCGGTTAGGAGTTCCTATGGCCACCTCCTGACTTCATCATCAGGACCCTGAACATCATCTAGCACTTTTGCTTGAAAAGACAAATCCAACAAACCCAAATTTGATGAGTTTCCACCGTTTCGTTTAAGAGTTCCTATGGCCACCTCCCGAATCCATCATCAGGACCCTGGGCATCATCTAGCACTAAAGTGCTCGAAAAGACAAATCCAACGAACCCAAGTTCGATGCGATTCCGCCGTTTCGTTTAAGAGTTCCTATGGTCACCTCTTGACTCCATCATCAACCCAGCTAAATGGTCGCCCGACAGAAACGAGACATACCTCAGTTTTTTTGTCATGTCTTAATTAGTTAAATTATATATTATTTATATTCGAAATCTATGTATAACACCAAAATATTACCCTTTGTTTTTGTTTAGGCGTTATACAAAAACTAATACAAAATGCCTATTTATCACCAAAATTGGTAAATGTATGTACCTAAATGTCTATTACAGCTGCTATGGAATGTATTTAGGTGACCTGGAGATACAGCCGGATTATACAGGGTGGAAAAAATAATAAGTTACAAAATCCAAAAATTCAATGTTACCAGCTTCCATAATCTGTACCCTATTAATAGTACCATTTGAAAGAGCTCGTGAAGCACTTTCAGAATCAGTAACTAGTTTTTCGATATCTTGTATAGTTTAGAAATAATCGAGTGAGATCACTTATCGTTCCATATGTATAACCACCCTGTATAATCCGGTTGTATCTCTAGGTCACCTAGATACATTCCATAGCAGCTGTAATAGACATTTAGGTACATACATTTACCAATTTAGGTGGTACATAAGCATTTTGTATTAGTTTTTGTATAACGCCTAAACAAAAACAAAGGGTAATATTTTGGTGTTATACATAGATTTCGAATTTAAATAATATATAATTTAACTAATTAAGACATGACAAAAAAACTGAGGTATGTCTCGTTTCTGTCGGGTCTGGGTTTTTTTTGTATGGGGCGTGACCGTTCTTCTTTGGCATGAAGCAACGTTTTATAGCACACATAAAGGAAAAATTCCGAAAACCTTAAATTTTTAGTTACATTACAAAATATATATTTTTTTAATAAATATAAACTTATGAATTTCATTTTGCAATAAAAATACCATAGTTATGACTCGATTGTCGTAATGAACGAACTTTGTAAACCTTGCAGGTTTGTACGGAACCCTCGGTGCGCGAGTCCGACTCGCACTTGGCCGGTTTTTTCCTTATTTGCTCACCGTTTAGACCTACCCTAGACTACGACAAACATTTTAAAACCAAAATCAGCTCAATCGGCCCAGCCGTTCTCGAGTTTTAATCAGACTAACGACTAACGAACAGCAATTCATTTTTATTTATATAGATAATGTAAGCACTCATAGTAAAACTTGTGATTGTTTTCTAGAGTTCTAAGACCACGTGTTTCTTGAACTTTCTTGTCAGTTCATTCATTGTCAACTTTGTGTTTATTATTATCAACCTTTAGTATTTTATTATCTAAAAACCGGAACCAAATTTCATTTAACATTTGTTTAGACATTTAACTATGTGTTGTTATTATTTCATTTTTAGTGTGGACCACATTGATGATACTATGACACCAAGATCGACGTTTGAGAAAAATGAAAAGGGAGAGGTGATCAAGATCAGTTATATTGACTACTATAAGAAAAACTACGGGATCGAAATCATGGATTGGGATCAACCTATGTTGATATCCAAGTAAGGCATAATATTATGTTAATTATGTTTATTTATAGTTGTCAAAATGATGGCGTAGAGTAGAGCATTAAACCTTGTTTCCGGGCTTTAGAACTAGGCCATTGGTTCCCAAACTTATTTGAGACGTGCCCCCTTTCGACCATACAAAAAATGCCGCGCCCCCCATCCTTCAGTCAAGATTATTTATTGGTCGTAACGATAAGTCTGGAATGCATTCTCTCAGCGGTCGCAGGTTTCTTAGAGATGGCCCGCGTCCCCCTTTAAAGGTCTTTGAGCCCCCCATGGGGGGGCGCCCCCCCACTTTGGGTACCAATGAACTAGGCTTTCAAATGGTACTAATATTGGTGGGAGGTGGGGATGCATACATTTGAAAGTGCTTGTCGCAGGATGTGCGATTTATTTAACGCCGAGCGTAGGTAAACTTTAGGAAAAATAAAAAAATATATCTACGGCAGACAGCGGATTATTATCGTTGAATTTTCCGACAATATGTACGATAAAATCTTTGTTAATTTGATTTTTCACTTACTTATATGATCTTACAGGGAATCGAAGCTTATGTCCGGACAGCCTGCGCCGGTGGACTTCATGATATGCCTGGTGCCTGAGCTGTGCCAGCTGACTGGGCTGACCGACGACCAGCGAGCTAACTTCCGGCTCATGAAGGACGTCGCTACTTATACCCGCATCACGCCTAACCAGCGCCACGCGGCTTTCAAGAAGGTAAATGGTGGACTGATGATATTCCTGGTGCTTGAGTTATACCAGCTGATCAGGTGGACTGATGACCAGCGAGCTAAATTCCGACTCATGAAGGACGTTGCCGCTTATACCCGCATCACGTCAAATTCATCGCCTTACTCATTCATTTGCGCCGTTTCATTCTTAGTGTCCACTAGCTGTGCCCCGCGGTGTTAGCCGCGGTAAAACGTAGCCTAAATGTTAATCCAGGGTGTCAGCTAACTCCATATCAAATTTTATTAAAATCGCTCCAGCCGTTTAGACGTGAATAAGTAACAAACATACACACTCACAAACTTTCGCCTTGATAATATTAGTAGAATGGACAAACTTGACCTTCTTTGGTTGGGTTTTTATGGCGGTCAAGCTGTAGATACTGGCTACACAGGAGTTGCAGTGGTGGGAACGAGAGGTAAGGGAGGGAATAGTCCCGTAATTTATAATATTAGTGTGATAAGGACCGGACCCTGCCCCTTCTTAGATCAACGAAGTTGTGATTTCGAATGGTGTCAAATAGTCTATTGTTACGGGGCAATACGGGGCACATAGCTCGTAGAGACGATGGCCGTTGGGGCAGAAAAGTTCTCGAGTGGCGACCACGGGCTGGAAGACGTAGCGTGGGGAACGTACGTAAACTAGGTGGACCGACGATCTCGTAAAGGTCGCGGGAAGAGCCTGGATGCGGGCAGCGCAGGACCGTGCATTGTGGAAAACCTTGGAGGAGGCCTTTGTCCAGCAGTGGACGTCATTTGGCTGAAACGAACGAACGAACGAGTCTATTGTTGCAGTCCACACGATAGACGAACATCAATTTGTAACAATCTTCCTTTCCAGTACATTCAAAACGTGATGGAAAACGAGACGGCCAAAAACCGCCTGGCCGGTTGGGGTCTCAGTATAGCGCCAGAGACAATAAACATAACTGCGCGAACGCTGCCGCCCGAGCCTATACACTTCGGGAATAACGTCAAGATCCCGGGCAAACCCGAGGCGGAGTGGAACAATGAAGTCACCAGGAATGCGGTGATGCAAGCTGTCGATATACTTAGATGGGTGGTGTTGCACACACCTCGGGATAAGGATGTTACTACGGTGAGTTTGTATTGACAGCCTCTGTGACAGACAAGAGAAGACAATTTGAAAATTATAAATAACTTGAAAAAAGGGATTCCGTGGAGGGTAGTTGAACGGGAAGCATGGTCGATCTGTTTTAATGGTTTCAATTTATTATTTAATGGATTTTAGTGTACAAATTTGGTGTTATTTTGTGTTCTAAAGTGCAGTGAAGTGGTAAATTACAAAAAACATTGAAATACTTCGAGTTTGAGCGCGCATCGAGTGTCGAGTGGGTTGTCGTATGAACAACCCGCTTTGGACCCGGTGGCGTCTTGAAACCTGCTTACGAGCATACTTAACTCCACGGAATCCATGAAAAATCAATAGAACTGAAACACCCACGTTCTATTGATAACTATGTCAATTTTCACTCGACATTGGCAGAAATAAACCTCCTAGAGAGGTTTGGTTGCCATAAAAAAAAAAAAAAAAAACTTGAAAAAATCGAACTGCCTAAGGCGGGAATTGAACCCACGACCTTCCGCTTGCCGGGCGACTGCTCTTCCAACTGAGCTACTTAGACACTGGATGAATGACGATGCGACTCTTAACGCTAAAAATTAAATAAAGAGAAGACAAGTTGTGGAATAGGGACGTATTCTGAGTAAAAAGCAAGAGTTTGAATTAGTTAACTCATCGAAAGTATTGGATACGTATTTTTCACTTTTGCAAAGGAATGAAAATTTAAAGAGATAAAGCGCGCCAAAGTCCAAAGGAGAGGCCCATGACGTCAAGGAGTGCTTAAACAGTAGCACTTAGTGACGTAACGCGGAACTTCAACGCACCATAACTAAGTAACAAGTTATTTGATTCACAAATAAAATATACGTGTCCAATATTTTTTGAATAGACGGACTAAGTTTTTTTTTTAAGAAACTATCCTATTGTTATTAGGCATTTTAATAAATTATGCATTTGATATGGAAAAAATACTAAGTTGATATACTGTTGTCAGTCTTTTATAATAAGTATTCACGTAGCTCTTTAACTACCCTCGAATCGAGACACATTAAAAATCAATTGTTATATCAAACCTCTGATACTCTTGTAATTGACGAGTTTCTAGTGTTGCTTTTCTTCAGACCTATGTTTTATTCCCGACGCAGTACCAATAAAATTATATAACGACATGTAAAGACGCTTATATACACTAGCTTTTGCCCGCGGTTTCACCCGCGTGAAATTTAGTTTGTCACAGATCATCATAAATTATAGCCTATATGTTATTCTGGGTTATAAACAATAATACTGTAAAGTTTCATCAAAATCCGTTCAGTAGTTTTTGCGTGAAAGAGTAACAAACATTCAGACATCCAAACTTTCGCATTTATAATATTAGTAGGATTAGTAGGATAGTAGGATTATGTCTAATTGCAAGTAATAAACATAATGAACTTTAACACTTTCAGAATTTCCTCGACACCCTCAAGAGATCATGCCGTCCTATGGGCATCGTCGTCGGGAACCCTGAAGTGATATGTCTGCCCAGCGACCGCTCTGATTGCTATACGGCAGCCCTGAGGAAATGCTTCTCGACGGCGCTACAACTGGTGGTGGTGATTTGTCCGACGGCCAGGGACGACCGATACGCGACTATAAAAAAGTTGTGCTGCGCTGAGAAGCCAGTGGCTTCACAGGTACGTTGTTATTAGAATAGGCTAGATGACACAATTATTTGTCCGTAAGACAGATAATTAGAAAATATTAGACTCATATTTTTTATTTTCTTTCATAATTAAATAATAACAGTGCTACATCGAGTTGAAATGGCGCGTTACGTCACGCTTGAGTAGATTTTTTACTGTAGCTATTTAGTCTAAGATCCCGCTATACAACGACCTTCACCGAGATGCTTATTTGATGAAACATATTTTATATTCAATTTAACATGTCAATAATTATATTGCTTAAGGGTTGCCTAATAAATATCAGTCCAGGATATGATTAATTAATCATTAAAAAAAGATTTTTTTTTAATATTTCATCGGTTTGACTATTAAACAAACTCCATACCAATCGAAAGTATGAAGCCCATAGAATATGCAAACGTTAGGTTGCCTATTCTTTTCCAGTCATAACTCTCGGGTTGCCAGGTATAAACAGGTAAATTGATAGAGCATTTTGCACCGGTCTGATAATTTAATCAAATTTAAATGAAAATAAAGATTATTTCATTATGAACACGGTGGTATAGGGTTGCCTGCGAAAAATCAGTCCTGAATGACGGTTGTCGAATTTTGTAAAGTGAAAATAAAACGGAAAGGTGACATTTTTAGAGTAGTTGGCAACATTTGGGAAAGACGAGTTGTATGAGGCGTTTGTGTGTCTTGTCAAGAGGTGTCGCTTGGGTGAAGAAATTCCTCCAGTGTTGCCATGCTTTGGGAGATTTGGTCCAAAAATGTCGAAAGTGGAAATAACGACTTCCGGTCAAAAAATTTGGATGACGCCTCCTGCAAAAGGGTCGTACAAATGACATTTGACCATTTTCATCTCGATCACCTGGCAACACTGGCAGCTACGGGGAAAAGTATTTTTTTCGACATGGGTGTCTTTAAACTTAAGGACGGACAGAAGGAGATATGGCAGAAAAAATCCAAAAATGGGGTTTGGTCGGTTATACGACCCAAATTAAGGGAAAAATCCGAAAATTCAGAAAATCAAGATGGCGACCGAGTGAGCGGCCATTTTGTTAAAAGTTTCAGATTTCTGATTTTTCAAATGCATTTTTTGGGCAGTTTCTTTGTCAGCTTTGCAATGGAGAGAAGTTGAACCTTAACTTCGAACTCCTCCTATGTTCTTCTGATTAATTTCGTTGCGGGTCCGATGATAGTTTATCTTTCTTCCGGGACAAACTACCTTCACTGGTTGGGTTTTTATCCTATTGGCGGTCAAGTTGTAGATCTTGGCTACACACTGCACTGCTAAAAAATTAATGAAACACTTCAATATTGAAGTTAGCAAATGTTAACAAACGTGTCCTCGCTGAAAACTGCCACGAAACTGCAACTTTCTGATGATTTTGATTAATGAAACTGAAAGTTTCAAACTGGTCGCGTCATGTGTGGTCTCAATGGACGCTATGGCAGAAACTTAGATGCAACTCAACTAGACGTTGTAGTTTCGTTGCAGTTTCGTTTCACCGTCTATTCTGGGCCGTAGCGGTCGTCATTTTGCTTATAAGCGCTGTTTTCCGCCAAATGCACCCATATACGTATTTATTAATGAAACGCTATTTCTCAGGTTATCAACGCGCGCACGATAATGAACCAACAGAAGATTCGCGCGATCACTCAAAAGATACTGCTTCAAATGAACTGCAAGCTGGGAGGCACATTGTGGAACATCACCATTCCCTTCAAGTCGGCCATGATAATCGGTATCGACTCATACCACGATGCCAGCAGGAAGAAGAAAAGCGTGTGCGGTATGTATTATAAAAGACACTTCGTTTCAGCCAAATGACGTCCACTGCTGGACAAAGGCCTCCCCCAAGGATTTCCACAACGACCGGCCAATGGCCATGCACCGCTCGCGACCTTTACCAGATCGTCGGTCCACCTAGTGGAGGGCCTGCGCACACTACGTCTAATTCAACGTCTTCCGGCTCGTGGTCGCTGTGCCCGCAACTACGTACGCGTGAAAATAGTTTGATAATATTTCCCGTTTTTGCAACATTTTTCTTTACTGCTCCGCCCCTATTGGCTGTTGGGTGATGTTATATAGCCTAAAGCCTTCCTCGATTCTGTCTATCTATCAAACACAAAAATATTTTTTCGTACCTGTAGTTCCAGAGATTAGCGCGTTGAAGTAAACAAACAAAGTCTTCAGCTTTATAATTTAGAAGTTTCGAATGTTGTCATCCTTCTCACACAAAGCGAGATGCCAGCATGAGCGACAGTGACAGATAGACCCGAAACTACGTAAACAGCGTAAAGGAGTAGTCCCCCAGGATCGTTTCAGAAATAAGACTTGTTTCTTTGTCTCCAGCCTTCGTAGCGTCGTACAACCAACCGATGACGCATTGGTACTCAAAGGCGGTGTTCCAAGACCGCGGGCAAGAGATCGTGGACCACCTCAAGATCTGCCTCGTCGATTCCCTCAAGTACTACCTGCGAACCAACGGATGCCTGCCTGACAGGATCATCATATACAGGTATCGTCCCTCTTGAAATCGACATCGACAGATTTTTTTTATACATATAAGATTTTAAACATTCGCGTTCCATTTCATTTAAAATCGCGACGTTTATTAATGAGTTACATTATTATTTATGTACTCACGACTCGACGTTTCGGCTGCGATGCTGCAGCCGTAACTCATTAATAAACGTCGCGTTAAGACCCGTGTCTTGCTATTTTTTATACATGACAAGGCAGGTTCAATTCGACCACAATCGCACCTGGTGTTAAGTGAGATGCAGTCTAGGATGGTGCATATCTGCCTTGTAAGTGCCAATTCACTCTCGCCTTGAAAAGGCCCAGGTTATAGTGTTAAGGAAAACGGTTTTTCTGGGAACTGCGTAATCTTTCTTTCATAAGCGTCAGTCAAAGTTGAAGCTGCAAAAGAGACGTATAGTCCAATCTTCAGTTAATTTAAGAAAACGGTATGATTTGGGGGCACTCAACTTCCCTTTCACATTGGTTATTATGATTGAAAAAAAATAGTCTGAGTTACAGCTAACAAAAATGGCTGCCAATCCAAGATCGTTCTAAAAATCAACCATAACTTGAAAGAATTCGTCTTTCATTAATTATTTTAAAAGTCAGAGCTCTACGAGTACATGTGTGTTGGAAATTTTGTTTATTACTTACGAGTATTAATCCAATCTTTGACGAAGAATATTGTCCTTACAGAGACGGCGTAGGCGACGGGCAATTCAAAGTGATCAAAGATTTCGAGATCCCTCAAATGCAAGTGTGTTTCTCGCTCATGGGTGAGACGTACAAGCCCACTCTGACGTATGTGGTGGTGCAAAAGCGCATCAACACGAGGATATTCATGAAGAACCACAAAGGGTACGACAATCCGTACCCAGGCACGGTTGTCGATCATGCCATCACTCGCCGCGACTGGTAAGAACCTTTGTTTGTGTATTTGTATCTTTATAAGGTAGTGGGAATATGGTTTCCATCATAATATTAACCTTATTCGCTTGTCTTATGGTCCAAAAACAATGAAAAAAGATTTGATTATGATTATGTCTTATGGTCCAAAAAAACCTTTGATTGTGTGTTGTATCTATTGATAAGGTAGTGGGAATATAGTTCCCACCATATTTTGAACCTTATTCGCTTGTCTTATGGTCCAAAAACAATGAAAAAAGATTTGATTATGTTATGACTGACTGTAGGGTTATTTGATCTATAATTTTCGACCTAACTTCTTGCGAAGTGGCTGAAGCTAATCGAAGTAAGATAGTGCAGACATGCACTTCGCTTCGAGCAACCTCGCCTCGCCCGATTTCCGATTGTTGTCGGTATTGAGCTCGAATCATAGAAGTCAATAATAAATTGCACTAATCGTCTATAAACTCAGGTCCATGCAAAAGCTGTTATTTTGCATAATTATGATAAGGATAATCCATATCTATTTCACATGTATTGGGGAGGCCTATTATTGACATGTGAATGCACGTATATCTAAGGCTGAGTTGCACCATCTTACTTTAACTTTAACAAACGTCAAAGATCTGACAAACTCCACACAAAACACTGGTTATTGTTACAGTTACTGTTAAAGTAAGATGGTGAAGCTTAGCCTATAATATTGTTAATTTAACAAAACATTTTGTCCAACAGGTACGACTTCCTGATCGTGTCGCAGAAAGTGAACCAAGGTACGGTAACGCCGACACACTACGTCGTCATTCACGACGACAGCGGAATGACGCCCGACCAGTGCCAACGGTTGACGTACAAAATGTGCCATTTGTACTACAACTGGCCGGGCACAGTCAGAGTGCCAGCCCCGTGCCAATACGCCCACAAACTGGCGTCATTGGTCGGCCAAAACATTCACCAGGAGCCGTCAGAGGCACTGGCCGACAGACTATACTTCTTATGAAGAGTCTATAGCGTGTATTTAAGGTTGATTAGATTAAAAGCGCCACTGCCTTTGATATGCCAGTTTGTCCACGAAATAAGTTGATTGTGAGTTAAATCATGCCTTTTGAAGGAATTATTGCTTGAATAACTACTAGTTTGGTAAAGTTAAATTTAATTCTTTCTTAGTTTATTAGCCTTATTTGTCCTGTAGCCACAATACATAATAAGTATGATGACACCAGTTAAAATTAACTCCAAGACAAGCATTTTAGAAGAACTCATTCATTTTAGTGTGATTAAATTTTAATTCAGTTTTCAAAATTAGTTTTTAAAAGATATTGAATCGATCAATTCGCTATGAGTGACGTGATATAACTGTATTTGTATACTATTTTTATGGTGTAGCATAGATTATAAAGAATATGAATGTTAATTTTAGGTGTCATAATTTCTTTTAGGCTACCGGGAGATTATTATGTTAATATTGCCTTTTTATGCTTGAAAAATTGAATTTTGTGGGCACACTGGCATCTGTGCCATAATAGTGTCTTATAATAAAAAAAGACATCAGATTCGATTAAATATAGAGAACATAAAGTTTATAGAGGTGAACCAGTCGGTTGTTATTTTTGTACTTATATTGACTATGTCAAATAATTTACTCTTTTAGTTTTAAGTACCCTATGTACCTTGTGACAAATGGATAATTAATTAATTAGAATATGTGACTACATTTTCGTTAAGTTCGTATGGTTAGCGTCAGTAAGATTTAGATTTGTGAAAAATCTCATTTGAGATTGAAGTTAAAACAGCTATTTGCTGTTAATGTCATGAGCCATATCTTGTTCGAAAATACGTGTATTTTTACACTTGTAATTGTTCAGTGTGAGATAGAATTATACTATCCAAAGATTTATAAAATAGAGCAGACATTGTTTTTCAAAGGATATGATGGGATTGATCACATCGAAATAAACTTATATGGCATCTATGTTGTTTATTAAGCGCGATTTTGCTACAAAATTTGTTCATAAAAGAATCGTAAACATTTTATTTCCATTCCAAGCGCTTGTAACTTTATTGGACATTAAAAATAAAAATTCTAAATTGAAAATTGATATTTTGATACCATTCCAAAAAAAAAGTAGGCTTTTAAGCCGGGTAATTATATTATAATGCTCTAATTACTATAAAAGGAACGTAATGTGTAGTAAAAAAATATACATAGTTAGAAAAAGTACCTAGTCTGTATTTTTACAATTTAACGTTTTTTCATGGCGTAGTTTATTACGATGTTAATAATTACGTAACATAACATTAACGGCGACAGGGTAAAATGTAGTTCTTCGCCTATTTTATTCTGTAAGGTTTTTTTACATATAAAAGTTTATTGACTCGTCATACGTCAAACCTTTGCTCAGTTCAAAATTGCTTGCCAACTAATCAAATATGGCGTATTTTCCCAAACTACAGCTAGTAACGTGTATCTTGCGCTTGCCAAATTGAGATTTCCATCCAAGATCTCTTCTATCCCATCGGTCATTTGTTTCATGGCTCACTCTTAGAGAAATTCCTGGTAAAATCCGTTCTATTAACTCCCCGAGTTATTAGTTGGTTCATCATCATCATCATCATCATCATCATCATCATCATCATTTCAGCCACAGGACGTCCACTGCTGAACATAGGCCTCCCCCAATGACTTCCACATCGCACGGTTGATTACGGATAGAGAATACAATCCCGAGCATGTTTTTCAATCCCGGGATTACGGGATTTTTGATGGGTAATCCCGGGATCCCGGGACTATCCCGGGATCAGCCTTATGTGGAAGCTGTTGTACGAATAACGTTAGCTGATACAATTTTGATGTTATGTTTGGATGAAAAATGACGTGTATGTAATCCCTTAGTTGATCCACCCATAGTCTTGAGAATAGCTGGGTATCGCTTACATTTAGCACTATTCCCGTCTTTCGCAACTAAAAAATTACTCCACACTGATGACGTATCACTGTCTTTTTTATGTTTAACAAAGTCTCCCGCCATGGCCGCCGTTTAAAATACTTAATTTCAGATAATTTGCTTTCAAATTTAAATGACGTCACCTACGTAAACTTGTCACTGGCAGAATAATAAATAAAATAAAAATTCCTGGCGTATTTAAACTTTCGTACAGGGAATCCCCGAAGGGGAATTACCCCGCAACAATATTTTGATATGAGGTGATCGGGTGTTACCCCTGTTAGCCCGTCGGGGAGTTACCTTAAGAGAAGGCGAATTACCTTATCGAAGTATTCCGAGTGGGAAAGTCCCTTCTAAGGTCTACGAAAAAGATATTATTAGGGCCGTACCTGTAAAGTCCGTGTCCGTATCGTACCTTAGGTTTGTTTTTTATCGTTATATAATTTTATGCTAAGGTATAATCTAGGCAAGGTCATAGTCAAAGCGCAACGGATCGTAGAATGCAAAATAGACCTGTTTATATTATCAATCCCGAAAATACCGGGATTAGCCAAGTATAGTCCCGGGATTTTCGGGATCAGAAAAGGGTCGCGATCCCGGGAATCGGGATACCGGGATTGTATTCTCTAATTACGGATCTCCTCATTTCTGATTTGATCTCGTAAAGAAACACCGAGCATAGCCCTTTCCATAGCACGCTGTTAGTAGTTGGTTGGTAGTTGGTGAACAGTCGTATCTTGATTCTTCCATCAGTAATAATGTCGGTAATCATCCGCTTCCTGGACCAAGGCTGGATTTCAACACCCTAGCCCAGTCCTGCGACCTTCACCAGATACTCGGGAAGACGCCATTCGAGAACTTTTCTGCTCCAAACGGACATCAGTTCTATGAGCTATGTCACTACCACTGATACCTTACACCTTCTCTCAAATGACTCAATATCCGTTCAAATGTTACAATAATGTAATAACGCAGGTTAGCGTACCATCCCTACATTGTCGACTTTCCACCAGCTCGCACTAAGCGTTTCTATGGCTCTTTTATAATGCAAACAGCTAGGGACTGGAATTCGCTGCCTGCTGCTGTCTTTCCAGAACACTATAATCCGGGCCTTTTCAAGGCGAGAGTGAATAGGCACTTACAGGGCAGATATGTACCATCCTAGACTGCATCTCACTTAACATTAAGTGCGATTGCGGTGAAATACCTGCCTTGCCATACATAAAAAAAATTGTACGCTGAAATTAATATTGGCTAATAGATTTTAGTGCTTACACACAAAATTTGCGAACTAGGTGTTATAAAACCGGTAATAAGAATCTACTTAATAATTTTCCATCAAATGCGATGCAGGCCAAGAGCTTCTTCGTTGAGGATAAAACAAAAAGCTCACTGCAAATAGCGTTGCTACAAGAATATATTTTCACTTATTTTAAGTCGAGTTGTAAAACATACATACCTCTTTATGGTGCTCAAAAAAGAGATTATTCAGTGTGGTAGGTACTGCATAAAATGCATAAAGAAAAGCGTGTGAAATTATACTACTTTTTTGGCTTATTCCCAAAGGTCCACAGCTATACTGTTTAGTTCATACATTGATTCCCAATGGATCCACGAAAAGCATTTAAAATTCCATGGACCCAGTGGTAAATAAGAATAAAAGAGTCGTGGACCTTTGAGAATAACCCCTTTTTTTAACAATAATGTATAGTACAACATATTATTGTTGGTGCTATTGATGATACATAGTTAGTGAAATAATTGTAACTTCTTACTTTGACAAAATATTAAATTATCTTCATAAAGGTATCCCGTGCATAAATTCCATTTTTTCGTTACTATTATGATAGGTTAAGGCTAGAATCTCGCTAGTTGTCGCTACTTTGAATTAATTTTTATTATTTTCTTATTATCTTTAATGTCTATTTTTTTTCTTTGACTACGGGTTTCATTTATTATTACATAAATTATAAGGATACGATAATAGAACTTAAGTAAACCATAACATAACGTTTTGATCATACATTTATATTTGAAAATTGTTGTGTTTGTAATGTATGTGACGCACAGTATTATTAATTTTGAGAGTGCTCAATATCCTTAGTTCTTTACAAGACTTCACTGTGGGCCACTGTCAGAAATAAAAAGTTTTCTGACGGCTACTGTCAGAAATAAGAAGTTTTCTGACAGATACTAAAATTTCAATACAACTTTCTTCATCATTATCATTTCAGCCATAGGACGTCCATTGTTGAACATAGGCCTCCCTTAATGATTTTTATATCGCCCGCTTGGTAATGGCGTGCATCCATCGTTTTTATGAGATCATTGGTCCACCTTGTGGGTGCAAGTCCCACGCTGCGTTTTCCGGTAAGTGGCTTCCACTCCAGAACCTTGTTGCCCCATCGGCGGCTATTTCTGCGTACTATGTGCCCTACCCAGTGCCCATTACCACTTCAGCTTGCTAATCCGTCGGACTATGTCAGCGATTTTAGTTCTGCTGCGGCTTATTGTTAAGATGTTATAAGACTATTTAACTGCAAAAATGTATGTTCTGATGTGCAGTTAACTGTAGAAATATGTATCAAGTATTTTCCGAATCAATTACAGTTAAAACTAATATTTTTTGGGGCAATTTGAGGCTATTTACTATAAATAAATTCTATCCATCGTTAATTTTAGTTTAACATTTAATTACAATTTATAAATTGTAACCATAATCGGATTAGGGTGACAAATACATTTTCTCGAAATTAATGTAAAGCAAACATTCTATAATTTTATTGTGAAAATATGATTGCCAAATTAAATTGTTTGGGTCAGTGATTTGTATTTGTTGATTTAGTGTTATGTGTTGTTGAAAGATAACGGTTTTTGGTCTGTATGCTGTATAGACCAGGTTTAGGTGATAAGTGAAAAATAAAGTTTTTTTATAATTAAATAAAACTAGATTTTTATTTTAACACCAAAACATTGACAACACATTAAGAACCAAATTTTTTAAAGTTCGGTAAAATGACGCTATAATAGTAACATTCCCTATAAAACAGTTATGCAATATTATATTGCAATAACAACAACACCTAACGATAGGGTATAAGTTAAACACTTCAGTAAAAAAGTGACGTAAAATTGCCGCAATTACTTTGACAGCTAACTTTGTGGATGAGAACTAATCTGCCCGAAATATTTCGTCCTGATTAGTTGCAATGGATTCTGCGCCCGCGGCGACGCTTGACAGCGGATGCGACGCGCACGCGTCTCTAGACAGATGGGAATTAGACAACCCGGTACCAAGGCAGCTCTATTACAACGAACCTACGTTCGCATTTTCACATTTACCGTCTACATTGACCGTTTTACTCAGATATTAAGTCTTATAAAAGACCAAACTCGTCAATGGATACCGTAAACAGTACGGCGTCGTCAAAACTACGAATGGATCGCAGATTGGCTCACTATTACTCACGGTTTTGCAATTTGAAGTCGGTGGGAAATTCTTTTAGTTCATTTCGTGTCTGAAATTATTGCCTGCCAATGTGGAACGATTCTGGAAATTGGGTTAAGCATTGTAATTCTAGGCGTGCGCGTGATTGCTCCGGGGGATGTTAGAAAATAGGGTATGTAAAGCAATTAAATTATAATAGATAATGACCCTAATCTTGACTCAGACCTATTTATGTATTAATAAATTGCTATATTTCAGAATCTGAGCGTCTATTGGTCGACGGAAAACATGTGTGAGAAATGTGAGCTTATGTTAATACGTAAGTTTTTATGGTAAATTTTAAATTTTGTGAGACTGCATTTTCACCTGATGTTATATGTAGAGGAGCAGTCTATTTAGGGTAGTATGGTTTATTATTGGCTAGCAGATGCCTATTCTCTTTTGCCTTAAAATGTTTAATTACATTTGGAAGCTTTTCGCCCTTTCAGATACGTCAAGATGTATAATGATGGACTCATGGTCAGGGTGTGCAGTATTTGCTGCATTACGCCTATAATCATAAATTGATATTTCTCAAACGATTTGCTGTTCAAAAACATAGGGTTAGTCGTGTAACAAGCGCGATGTTACATCGATAACAAACTTCTAGCTCACCAACCCGTGGGCTGACGTAATCTATGTCGGTCTCCACCTCGGAACAAACTGAAATACCGACAGCGTGTGTGGGTGTCTGCGTTTAACGAAAGAGCTCCAGTCCATCAGGGCAGAACGAGACGGCGCTATACAGAGTGAGCGGGACGGAGGAATACGCAGCCCGTGGGAAATGCACAGTAGTGGTCAGATCAGACTGCGCGCGCGCCGGCCCAATGCACGTATTATTGTATTGGAATCTCTCCTGCTCATAACAGCTTATAAGATCATGTCGATGGCTTCGATCTGGCTTTTACACGGTCGGAATAAGACTCAAAGTTTGGGTTTTGCTTTTGAGATTTTGGTCGTATTTCACTGGGGATCAGTTATATAGGTAGTTGCGTCGAGTATAATGCGATGAATTTTTTAGCGATCGATTGAGGTGGATTCTGCGGTGGGCTTCGCTCGAGATGCAAATGTGTTTATGATGTTCGCCGCACACGCCTAGTAAAAAAATGATTGGACTAACACACAAAAGCGGATGTTCTAACGTTGTTTTGTTAGGCGAGTGAACAATGAGTGTTGATTACATTAAAGATATGTTAATATTAGAATAATGTAGCATGCGATTAGAAAGATTTAAAGGCTGTTAATTGGATAGCTCTATTGAAACCACATTTTCAAGCTCATTTGGCTCATCTTTTAACACTTAACATGATTGAAACGTTCCAAAGTATTGAAGTGATTGAAACTTATTTTAAGTTTCAAGCACTTTATTCTGGCATTATCAGGGGATCGTTTCAGACAATACATAACACGATCATCTTTTTGTACATGATTGTCCAATATGTTAGGGACAATAGTGTTTGAAAGCGAAGGGCTGGGCTGGTCGGATACATATCTTAATTAGGCCTCACATGGCGAACGTCTATCCTTTTTTATCTGGCGATCCTCCACCGTGACGAATATTTGTATAGACGGAC